TTCAGAAGTTGTACAGGGCTGGAGTAACAGTCAGAATGGAGTCTTGCCGGTGATCATGTGCGGCGATTTTAATTCGACTCCCGATTCGGCCGTCTATGAGCTCCTCACGACGGGACGGCTGAGCCCTTCGTCAATTCCGGTGCGCCACGAGATTGGTTTTCCTCCTGCTATGCATTGTGATTTTCAGGACGACCCCTTCGGAATTCTCCCACCGCTGAACCAGATGCATCACTCGCTGCCTCTGCGTTCGATATACCCGGCTGTAGTTGACAGTGAAGCTACTTATACAAACTACACGCAGAAGTTCCAAGGTAATCGAAAGGTCCCCGGTTCGATCCCTGCAGATGTCATTTTTAGGAACGTTGGACTATATATGCTTCACACAAAACTCTCTGAGAGGCCTCGCAGTGTCTAATACATACAGCTATGAGGAGCTCAGCGCTGAGACGGCGTTGCCGAGCCCTACTCAACCGAGTGATCATATACTTACTGTTGGTGTATTTGCATATACGTAGTGATACCAACTTTTCCGCAACTCTCGGCGGAGATTCAAACGTCGTCTCTTACTTGGTAGGTTGGGCGTAGTTGAGCTTTTCCGTATGTGCATGCGTGCTGATTTTTTTTCAGGCCTAGCGGATTTTCGCCGAATGTTTGTTGTACAATAAAGCTGTGAGTTGGAGCTTCTTCTGCTATAGTATAATTTCATGGCGCAGTGACGGATTCAAAGAATGAACAGAAAGGTGTACGTTATGAGCATATTCTAATCGACATCATAGTCGATGTCTTTCTCCTTGCAGTTCACACTGCGTACCATACCATTGTATTATTTTTATCGTACATATATTGCCTCGGTCAATGCTTGTGGGTTGAAATAGTGTAGTTGGGAAGGACTCCGTGCTGTCTACCGAATGACCGTGGGTTCTATCCTTGCATGTCGTCGATCTATTAGCATTGCTAAACCACTGCCAAGTTAGATATCTAACTCGTGCAGCGTACTCCATATTTTCCCTATGTAAAGTCTAGGGGCCTAACCTAGCAAT